CCCTCGGTCGTTATGGAAACGCACCCCTCTCCGCCCCCTCCCGGGTCCGCCTCGCACGAAAAACAGCCGCTCCTCCGGCCTACGGCAGACTTCCGGCGCGTCTCCGAGCTACCGTGTCCGCCTCGCACGAAAAACAGCCACTTCTCCGGCTCACGGCAGACTTCCGGCGCGTCTCCGAGCTACGACGCCTGCGCAGTAGGCCACTTCCGGATAGGTACCGGAAGGGGCGGGGAAGAGCCGGAAACACAACAACCACCTTGAGTAGGGAGGGGACGCTCTGGCCCCTCGTCTCGGTGCTCCAATCGGCCAGAAGGGCCTCTACTGCAGGAAGGGGAGGGGGGTCCCCTGAGCATGTGAAGAGCGCCCTCCCCTTCTAAGCAGCCCAAGGCACGGAGGCTTTTACTCACCGCTCTTTGTGATTCTTTCTCCCACTTCTGCACCTCCTTTGGACGGCTGGTGCTGGGGGGGGGTCGCGGTTGTCATGACAACGGCAGGCAGGAACCCCCCCTCCATCCCTCCCCCGCAAACCGAAGCCCTTTATGCCCCAAAATCACGAGAACCCGAGGGATCCGGCTGGGCCTTTGGGCAAACCAGGAGGCGGCGCTTTGGAGAAAGGGCAACACAGAAGCTGCTTATAAAACCAGCCTGGCCTTTACTTGGGATCCTTTAGCTCTACAGAAAGGGCATCATCCGCCTTGGAGAGAAAAGAGGGGAGGAAGAGCCTCGAGGGACACCCGTCAAAACCAAGGGCAGCCTCCCCCCCCCCCGCGTGTGCAAGGACACCTCCGCCCAAGATCTACCATCGGCAGAAATACATCCATCCAGGCAGGAGGGAGAATCTCCCCATTGCTCCTGTTTGGTTTCTCCAATAACATCAAACACAGTTTAAGTGAGTTTTTTTTCCAGCCTTGGAAGGTGATCATCATCTCTATGCCTGGCCCACAAAACCTTGAGACTGGGTGTGTGGACTAGAGAGAGAGAGAGAGGGAGAGGAGAATGCTCGGCTCCATCAAATATTCATCACCCGGCTGTCAATACATGTCCAGAAAATCCATTCTGGTGGAGACACCCTCACCTTGGAAAGCTCATTTGGCCCCTCGTTAATTAGCTTGCTGGCAGGCAGCGGCTTTCTCTCGGAAACCCAGAGAGGAGATGAATCCAGGACTGGGAGGTGGGGAAGCAAGAGGAGGGAGCCAAAAGGTCCCTCAGATATTTTGCAGATTTGCTGGTGGGCCTTGGAGGAAACATGAGAAAGAGAGAGAGAGAGATTTTAAAAGGCTCTCGAGAGAAAGTGCTGCTCTCTCCTCTTGATTGTTGTTTCTCAGTGTTCTTCCTGGACTGCAGATCCATGGGACTGGGTCGTGCTCTCAAAATACCCATTTATTGCACAAACACTTGCAGAAGAGCAAGAAATGGAGGTGCGAGCATGTGCCATGCTTTTCGGGAGAAGTGCTTAAAAACTGGCTGAAAATTCATCCTGAGATGAAAAATGTGCATTTCTGGGTAGAGGCCATGGTGACCTCACCCCACTTTGCTCCTTCAGTTGTTACTTCTCGGGCCACAATCTGTGAGGAAATAAAAGGAAACTGGGACTTGTTTAGTCATATAAAGATGGAGTCTGTTAGGTTCTGTGTAAGATGGATTTAAAAGCATTGAAATGATCTCAGTGTTATTCAGAGTTGCTCTGCCTGGCACCAAGATAAGCACCAAGGCTGAGAAAGAAGATCAAGATGAGATGAGACATCACATACCGCTTCATTGCCAAGATAACCCACCTGGAACATCTCATGTGAAATAGGGGTGTGGGCTGTGTTACACCCACTTTATTTTCTTAATAAAAGCAATTATGCTTAATCTAAAGGGCTTGTCTCTTGAACAGCACGATTGCACCTACATCCAGATTTGAGAAGGTTGTTCATTGCTACTGTAATATAGAGAGTTCCTACCTAGCCAGTCTCTTATGTTATCTCAGGAAGCACACAGTCAATGATTTACTGCCTTGTAAGCAGGCTTGAGTTTTCTTTCAGGTCAGGATTGTCCACAGGGCAAGGACTACGCACTTCTGGGGAGTAAAGGACCTACCCAGTGGTAGTTTTGCACCTATAGTGACTGCTCCCCTGAGATCATTATTTCTTTAGGAAGAAATGATCCTGACACAATCTCCCCCCCCCATCAAAATGCAGAAAAATGTTGTTTTTGGACTTATCCTGCTTGTTGTTTGCTTGCTCGCAAGACAAAAGATACACCTGCAAATCTGTGTTGTGGATATGAAACATTTTTCCTTTTCTTTCAAATTATCAAAACAGTTCTTAATCCGGGTGAAATTACACACAGTGAGACGTGAAGGAGACAACCTTGTATATTTATTTAAGAATTAATAAATAAACCTAGTTGATTTTTGGAAATTACAAATAAGAGAGAATTAAACAGGACAAGTTTGGGATTATCACCTGTAAGACCAAAAAGAAAGAAAGAAAGAGAGACAGACTCTTAACAAAGTTATAGTAACAGAGTTATGTAAGGCCTGCAAATCAGAGATTTAAAAAAAAATACAAGACACTTTCCAACAGAGGTTTTAAAAGGGGTCTTCAACAGGCAAGTATAAAATATTCTCCAGTATATTTTGGGCGTTTCTTTTCTCTCCGCAGACTTTCAGCATTTACCACAGAAGAGTGTCTGATCAAGGGGGCTGCCTCTTCTCCTCAGGAACTGGGAGTGTCCATACTTGGCAGGTCAGCGAAGGAGAAAGGGTTTCACAGAGAGAGCACTCGGTTTGGCAATTATCAGTAGCAAGCAATATGCTTGGAATACAGATTTCCACTGGTGCTTATCTGCAAATTTTCTTCTCTTTGGAGGAAGGAGAAGCAGTTTGCATCTAAAAGCGAGCTGGATAAAGGACAAAACAGGAGTCAGTTCTGAAGCATATCAAAGCATGGACTCAGTTGAGTTTCTCCTCCATTTCCTGCCCCTTTGCTGGCTTAGAGTTACTGTCCCGGACCACCACTCCTTGGATGGCACCCCCTGATCCCTCACCCTCTTTTTATAAACCTAAAAGGAGATGGTGGGGGGAGCTGGAATAACCCAGGCTTCCTCCCTTGGGGGCAAGATCTGCTCACACACAGAAACACATACCTGGAAATCACTAACGTTTATCAGTGGAAAGCAGTCGTATTCTGAGTCCCCTGTAAGGAGCCAAAGACATGGAAGAATTAATCCTTTTGGTCTTTTAAATAGTTAGAACTCTCTTTTTTACACAGGGCCAGGGAGAAACAAAGCTAGCCTGACTCAACGTTTTAGGATTGAAGCACCAACCCCAACAGTACATGCCCACATCAGGTTAAAGGCATCCTTCTTCCCCGAGTGCAGGGGTGGTTTTCCGATCAGAAAAAAAGGCAGCACTGCAACTTGTTCGGGGAATTATGATTTTCACTATGAGGGACAACCTGAGAAGCAGATATGAGTCAAAGAGCTACTGCAAGGAGCCACGACCGCAGAACCACTATGTAAAATAATCGCTTTGCCCACTGTTCAAAGACCAGGGAGAAAAGAGAAGAGGAACTCACCTGGAGGTGTCCTTTCAGGTTGGCAGGTGTTTTAAAATCTCCGTTCAGGACCTGTGCAAAGGAGAAAACCCTCCCTCGGTCAGGCTGGTGTCTTTGGCTGAGCAACATCCCCCCCCCACAATCCAAACATTGCAAAAACAATAAACTCAGAATAGAATCCAAACTCTGAAACTATTGAGCAGGTTTCAGAGCTAAAGAGTCTTCCTTTCGGGGGGGGCTACAGGGCACAGAATCCCTCAGCTCCTGCAGGAGACACCATCCAAAAAACCCCCCAACAGGAAAGTTTCCAAAAGCCAGGAGGCAAAGACGCCACTGATCAGCTGCCACTAAGGTCCACAGCGTGCTCCTCTCTGCACACTGGCTCCCTGAATCCGCCAACGCTCCTGGCTCTGGGATCCTGGATCCTAACCAAAGCTTAATGCCATCAATTAACAAGAAAAGCAATTAAAAGCTGAATCACAAAAGAAAAACGAACTGTACTGGCTAAACAAGAAAAGCCCCAGCCCGGCCAGGAAGAGGTGCTTCTCGTCCTCTGCAGCCCTGTCTGTGCCTGAGCCAAGGCGCAAGATGGGAGGCTGGGCAGAGACCCCTCTGGGCCATGAATTCCCGGGCACGGTGGTGCCTTTGGAAGGAGGATGGGCTCCCATCAGCTGGGAAGAAGATGGAACGGAGTTACAAATGGCCCTTGGAAGCTGGGCTCTGAGGCTTACGGCAGGGGGCAGGAAGGTATTGCCCTCCAGACTCTTTTGGACTACGAATCCCATCATCCCCATCCAGCATAGCCAACGGTGAAGCAGTGCAGGAGCTGCAGTCCAAAACCATCCAGAAGGCTAGCATTGCCCTCCCTCAGGGCTCAATCTTGGCCGATCAGAGAGTTAAACGGCCGTTTTCAGTGCTTATCTGGTGTTCCTCCCTTTCCAGATCACTGGAAGAATGGGAAAAAACGACCTTAACCACTTCCCCTAACGCAGAGCCACTTCCAGAGGCATTCAAGAAGCCCTTCTGCTCCGGGACTGTGCCCAGCAGGGACGGCGCGGCACACTCACCCTGTGGGTGTTGTTGATCACCAAAGGGTCCGGGTTCCCATAGTTAGGTGGGTTTGCATAGGGATCGTAGCCCAGCCTGGCTAGCATGGGAGCGATCTGGGCCATGTCTTGCACCACGTCGGCCGGGATGTGCCCCAGCCACTTGGTCAAGGCCTCCATGTTCACGGGCTTGATCACCTGGTCAGTGGATCGCTCAATCCTGCATGGGGGGGGGGGAGAAGAGGCTGTGAAGCTCAACCAGTGAGATGCAGCACTGCGGGGTCTTCCCTACCCTCCACCCACCTCGCGAGAGTCCCCGTTTGCTCTCCCCACTGGCTCTTGGCATCCAGAGCCAGGAAGCGGTTCTTTCCAGATCCCCCCCTCCAGCTCCGCATGACCAACCGCAGGTGCTAGCTGGGCGATTCTGGTAGTTTGACTCCAAAAGGGAGGCAATTTTCCCAACCTGCACTTTCATCTTAACAAGGGGAAAAAAAAACCCACATTTCATAAATTCCAAGCACAGAGGTGGCTTTTGGCGGGAGCCTCTTTTGTGAAGGGCCGCTTGCTTGCCTGCTTTTAGGCATAGCGCTCTGTTCCAAAGCTTTTGTTTTCAGCTCAGCATTAAAACCAGTGGATGAGAAAAGTGTGGACGGAGAGAGGCTGAGAGCTGCCGTGCCCTCGCAAGGCCCCTCGGCTAACCTCAGCTTCGGGAAAGCAGCCCCCTTGATCCACCCACACACTCTAGTGATGGCAAAACCCCCAGGAATTGTCTCGCACAACGGTCAGCGGGTTCGCCTCCAACCCCCATCATCCCTCGGAGGCAAGCAGGCCCGGCCACATTTCCCAGTGGCAGGATGAGACAGGAGCAGGACCAGCACTCACTTGGAGAGCGAGACGCCGCCCGGCTTCCCGATCAGCTCCTCGTGGTGCAGAACGGCATCGCTCCAGGAGATGTCCAGGAACTCCATGATGGCCTGCAGGGATTTCTGGGGGTGCAGGACCAGCTGCTCATAGTAGACGGGGAGGCACCGGGAGCGGCCAATCTCCAGGCATTGGGCGTACATCACCTCAATGGCTTTGTTCCACTTGGTCAGGCAGTCCCGGTAGCTGCGGAGGTCGAATCCGGCAATGGTGACCTTCCGGGTGATCATGGAGTGGACGGAGGCCCGGCCATCCCGTACCATCAGCAGGAATTTGGAGTTGGGGAAGAGGCGGGAGAGGTAGAGGGAGGACTTGAGGGTGAAGGGGTCCTTGTTGCACAGGTAGCGGGCCGGCTCGCCGTGCTTGGCGATCACCTCCAGGATGAAGGCCTGCATGGCAGCGTCCAGGACCTGGTCCGTCACCCCGGCTTCGTCCAAGCGCATCTTCTCCCGCCCAGATTTGGACCAGGCCTGGCGCATGGCCAGCACGCGGGGGATGATGCGGGTCTCCTCCCCGCAGCGCACCTCCGGGTGCGCGTCCAGCATGGCCCGCATCAGGGTGGTCCCGCTGCGGGGCACTCCGCCAATGAAAATCAGAGGCATCTCTTTGCTGTAGCGGTACTCCACCCGGTTGGCGTCCAGCATCACCAGCTCCTCGTTCTCCGGGCGCATCAGGCCCCGGTTGGCACCTCGGCCCAGGATCTGCTGGCACTGAAGCATCTGCTGGCCCAGGTGGGCCGAGACCATGAGGGCGACCGCAAAGCCCACCCCCAGCAGCACACGCCTCATCGTCACCCGCATCCTGGCCCCGTCCACATGGGCCCAGGAACCGGCGGCGCCCGCTTCGCCTCCCGCATTCGCATCACGAAAGGGCCCGCCGAGGACCTCCTGCAAAGGAAGAAGCTGGCTGGTGAAAACAAGGCTGGCATTCCCTTACCCTGCAAAGCGCTACACCTCCCCCTGCAAAGCGCTGGGCGGCAGCAGGAGAGGCTTTTATGGCAAGAGGCCTTCCTGGCTCCGGCCTTCCCATGAGAAGCAGGGCCGAGCACTGGAAATCGGTTTACCAGCCAGAAATTCTCCTTCCCACTGCCCTGCCTCGCACAGCTGCTTGGAAGCGGTGCAAACGCCCCGCACCGTAAGCAGAGCCCAACCCCTGAACTGGGAAAGGCTGCCTGTGGGTCCCCAGGAGTGCAACAGCAAGAGAGAGAAGACCCTCGTGCAGCCTTCCTTCTGCCCCAAAGTAACCCCTTGTCGCCTTTCTGTCTCTCCTTTGCCCCTGAAGGCCAGCCAGCGTTCAAGGGGCTCCTTACAGCTTTGGAAGGTGGTGACGTATTCATGGCCAACAAAACTGGGGGTTGGGTGTATAGGGCTGAGAGGTGGGGGGGAGGGAGGAGAGGGAGAGCTCAGCTCCATCAAATATTCATCACCCCACGGTCCGTATATGTCCAGAGAATCCATCACGCTGCTGACACCCTCACCTTCTTGCCTTGGGAAGCTCATTGGGCTGCTTGTTTGCTCGCTGGATAGCTGGCAGGCAGCCGCTCTCTCTCTCTCTCTCTCTCGGAGACTCAGGGAGGAGATAAATCCAGGGTTGAGGGCTGGAAAGACAAGGAGGAGAGGCGAAAGGTCCCTCAGATGTTTTGCAGATTTGCTGGCAGGCCTTGGAATCTCTCTCTCTCACACACACACACACACAAACTCACGGTGCTCTCTCTCTTTAATCACTGTTGCTCAATGTCGTTCCTGACTGCAGATCCCTGGGTTCTGTTTGCAGCCCCCCCAATACAATTTCGCACAGACTGGAACGTCCTCTGCTGCCACTCGGATGTGCTCCAGGCGTCTGCCCAAAGCCCTGCTCTTTGGGCTTTGCAAAAAATAAACCACGTCCAACCTGGCGAGGCTCGAAACGCCTCCAAAGCTGCTCCCCTGCGGGATAAAGGGCTGTGTGGACCTGCCCCCACTTGCCACCACAACCCCATCACTTCAGATGGGTGGCAACCGAGGTTTTCTTCCTCCTCTTGCTTAACTAGCCATTCTCACACTGGCAGGAGGGTTTTTTTTTTAAAGAAAGGAGACTTGTTGGACTACAACTCCTAGCAGGCTGTGGGATTTGGAGAGTGACCAAGGTCTGCTTTTCCCATGCTCTGGCTAGAGAAGAACTAGGGTTAGGGGGGTGGATGGACTGCTGGGACAAGCCAGGGTCTTGGATTTCGGTCTCTCCGGTGGAATGAGTGCTTCAGTTCCTGGCATGGAGCTGATTCGGGGACCGGGATGTGCAGCAGCTGCCGGAGGGGAAAAGTCCTTGAAGGAAAGGGCCAGAGAAAGCCTGAGGGGTTGGGGGTGTCTGGTGAGGAACAACACAAGCTGGGATCCCCAGGACAAAAGAATAACCCTTGAGCAAGAAAGAAGGCAGGTTGCAAACATCACGCAGGCCCTGGGCTCATCCCGTTGCCCTGGCAACCGAGAGGCAGCCCTTGTCGAAACCCGGGCGGCTCAGCAGCGCCACCTCCGGGCACAGCCGGTCCAGCAACACAAACATCCCTGATTAGCAAGCCTGAAAGGAGCCGCTGGACGTCTCGTTAATACAGATGCTCCTCATAGGCATCCTTCAGTCTCTGTATGGAGGACTGCAACGCTCTATGCGAAGCTGGAGTGCCCTCTCCAGAGCACGAAGCCTGGGTAAAATAATATGGAGGATAGGCTGTTACCCAAGCAGCAAATCCCCCCTCTCCACGTCAGTGAAATAGTCCAATGGAAAGGCAAGAACCAATACAACTGGTTCCAGCGACGTGGCAGGAATTGGCAGAACGACACGAACTGCCTCCGGGACTCCGGCTCCGGATTTTGCCTCGAGGTCAACTCCTGAAGCCTTTCCCATCAGTGGATATAGCCACAAGGCAGTGGAGGTTTGGAATCAAGAGTTTTCCTTCTCCTAGATGGGCTAGAGATTTGCAAAATATACATGATTCATTGATTTATTTATTTGCAGAGCAGATGATTCTGGCTGTCTTTGCACTTTGCCATCGCTCCCCTTTAGTCAAGGCCTCCTCAGCTTCCTGCACTGCACAACATTCCCATCTCTGTAATATCATAAAAAATATCAAGGGGAATGGCAATGGGCCTGGTTGTTTTTCTTATCTTTTTTTGGTATATGCCTTGGGAAAAGACGCAACACCAGCCGCAGGAGAGCCAGCCATGGAGAATATAGTTCAGCCCTCACTCTCAAAAACTAAATTTAACCACTAGAGAACTGAAACAGTTTCCAAAGGGGTAGCTGGGTTAATCTGTTTCCACATGTAGGAGGCTCTGGGAGAAACAAGAAATCAAAGGGTGGGAAAGGAGGAGGAAGAAGAAGAAAGAAAGAAAATGGCAAAATATTGTGCCTCCTTTAAGTCTTAACACATTCTTGATCCACGAAAGCTCACGCTGAGACAAGCCTGCTAGTTTTTTTTTTTAGGGGCCCACAATATTCTGCTCTTTGTTTTCTTTTCTCTCTGTCATGCCCTGTGCTTCCCCCCCCCCCTTGCAAAGCCACTAATCTGTTTGCAAAACTTTTTTTTAAAAAAAACTTGGCTGAAACTTGAGATAGGAAAGCAAGAAATGTACAGCTGCACAAATGAGGTGGCCTGAATGCAAGGCAGTTCCTTGTGTTTTAAAGTTTAAAAAAATAGTGACAAGATGAAGTTGAATTGTTCACCTAACCATAAAAGCAGACCCTCACTGGGTGAGGGGAGAGGATTGGAAAAGTTGTGGGGGTTTTTTTGGACTACACCTCCCATGGCTGGGAGTTCCGGGTGTGTTTAACCAACTTTCAGGCTCAGAACAACTTTCCAGGACCACAGGGCTCCCACTGCAGTCCAAGCAGTCTCCAAAGGGAGCCCTCAAAGAAATGAAAATGAAATCAAACTGTTCTCTTTGCAACAGTGAAGGGTCACCGGCCCCCTTCCTGTGACCTTAAAAGCAGCAGTTTCTGGTCCTTCCCTTCTTCTGCCTGGCCAGTCGCTCCGTGAAAGAACTGCCCCTCTAAAAAGAAAGAGCCTGATTTCCCCAGGAGCAGTATTTATACTTTCCCAGGCATTCTGCTGTGATATTTTAAGCAGTTGTCTTGAAAACCCTGCCTTCCACGTAGAAGGCGACCTCCACTGCTCACCTGGGGGTTAGGGGCACCACCAGATGACAGGGGCTGATATCCAAAGCTGAGGGTCCCTCTTTTGCAAAACACGTGGAGACAGAAAGAAGGGCCACGATTCTAGAACGGTCGGTTGTGCCGGTTGCTAAGGGATGTTGAGTCGTGGCCAGCCACTGCCCAGGTGGTTGATTCAGAGGCGAGCGCTCTCTGAACGCTCCCCGGGCATTCCTGTAAAATGCCCAGCCGGGGAGGCTGGAACATAAACAGACATCTCCTCCATCAGGGCTGAAATCAAATCAGCAAAACGATCCAGCTGATGATGCCCCAGCATGCAAACACACACCGGTTGCTGGAGGCCTTCGGGAGCTTCTGTGATGGGAAAGGGCTTTTCATTATTGGGTTTAAACACTGAGCAGTTTTGAAAGAGATAAAGTGGCACACGGTGGAGTTTTTTCTTTGATTAAAATGTCTCCCTTTCCAGGAGGGAGGGAGGGAGGGGCAGAAATTATACTTTCTATGTCAAAGGCTTGGCCAGGGAGAAAAGCCCTTTTCCCACCAACCAAGGGAAATGTCCTGGGCCCAAACCAGCAAACCAGGGAGGCAGAATGGAGTCGGCACTCCATTCACCTTTCAGAACCCCAGCCGAACACCCGAGGATCATATACCGAAGGCAAAGACTCATCAAGTACAACACGCAGCTTGGAATAAATAAGTCATGGCAAGAAGAATCTCCTCCCCCTGCCACACACCTAAGAGAAGGCGGCCAGGTTGCTTGTTGACAGAAAGGGAAGAACAACAAAGCCCAAATCTTGTAATGCAACAAGTAATATTCAGCCAATGTTAGTGTTTCCTTTCCTTTCCAGAAGGCGGTGGGGGGGGGGTTTCCTTTCCATTCACAACAAGGAAACAAGACCCACACATTCCTCTGATGCTTCAGTAATTTTCCTGATCACAGTCTGGGAGGTGTGAGAGGCAGCCCTCCACCTTTCCGAAAGGAGTGCTCTAAGCCCTATAAGAAGGGGGGGGCATCGTTGCCTCCCACACATCCTGGACTGCCGTGGAGACAGATGTGGGGCCTTCTGCATGGAACAAGGGCACGTTGGGAGTCTTGCTGGATGGTGGCAGGGAGCCCTCCAGGTAGCCTATAGATCAGAGGTGGGCCAAGCTGGCAGGCTGGCTCAAGCACCTTTTTGTACCCAGGACCCTGTGGGGGCCACACAGACCACCAGGACAATCCCGGAATGCAAAAGATAAATCGAAGGTGCTAGAAGCTCACCTCCAACTTTGGGAAACAGGCAGTGGGGGATTACACTGTTACCGACCAAGGTGGTGCTTTTGCAAAGCACATGCCTTATCTCACTATCCATGGTTCCAGCTGGAAGTGGCCTGTTTTCTACACCACAGACAGCTGGCCGGCTGCGTGTGTGTGTGTTTGTGTGTGCCACAAAAGCTCAGGAGATACCTGCTGGTGTAGCCACCCTTTAATCCTCCTGCAGAACAGCCGTTATTTCAAATCCCTCGTGGAATTATCACTGCTCTCTGAGGTTCCACAGTCCTTGGCTGACAAGCGCTGGGAGGATTTGCTACTACAGCTCATTACAAAGCCTGGGGAAAGGGCGGCATGGAGTAACAAGAATATTCCCCTCCCCTCCCTGACAATACTCTTCTGTGGTTGTGGGGTTGTTGTTGCTGTTAATTACAGATTTTTGAAATGGTCACAGCAAACAACAGAAACATGAACCAAGGATGGACGATTATGAAAAAGGGTGCTGGTTGCGAGGCCACTTAGGCCCCCGTGCTGTGGGGGCGGCTGCAGGGGGCGCGCGCGAGAGAATGAGTGGAACGGTGCCGCTGCTTTTCTTGCCTTGAACCCGGGTTGAGTGGGACGTGGCAGGGCAGCGGTCTGCCTGTGACCGGCCTCAGCCTCTGCCTGGAGGGCCAGAGATCCTCAAGAAGGTGGTTTCGTTACTGCCCTTTTCTCCACCTCTCCACGAGACAGTGCCCAGACCAGAAACTGCACAGGGTCAGAAACACAAAGCAGCAACTGCCCTCCCCTCCATTTGTCCCCTTACCTGGCACTTTACCGGGACCCTGAACCTGCCAACTGCCTGCCAACTCCTCCTCCAGGACTGCTCCAAACCCTCCGAGCATCCCCTCGGCAGCTGGGAAGGTGCTTGGCAGCAAACCAGCCCCTTGTGCTGGGTGGAACTCCCTGTTCTCCATGTGTGTTCCCTCTCCCCCCCTTACCACACACAAACCTGGCAACTAGAGAGCCTCCCTCGGTGCTATCTGGCTTCTGGCACGATAAGGAGCCCAAGCAGCAAGCCAGCACTTGCCCGCTGGAGAGCCCTTCAGAGAGGCTTCCGCCGAAGGCCGGCCAAGCCCCCAAGGGCGCTTTGGTGCCTCCACAAGGCACAAAGGAAGTGCATCCACAGCGCAGCTGCCTAGGCCTCGTTTGGGCTGGGCTGGTGAGCCAGATGGAGGGTAGGGAGGTAGGTAGGTAGGTGGATAGGATGGAGGGAGGGAGGAAGTTTCCCACCCAGCAGGACCAAAGTGCAAGGAACAAGGTTGAATGTTGTTCTTTTGAACATGGTTTGAAAAAAAGAACCACGCAGCTGACTTACAGGAGGGAAGCACAAAAGCCAAGGGCAACAAATGCCGGAAGGTGAGTTTTAAGAGGGGCAGCTGCTCTTCCGAAAGCATATATATATATTTTTTAAAAGCCATAGCGGGTTTCCAGTTTGGGCACTTGCAGTTTGACTTTGGTTCCTGCGCTAACAATTCAGACACGGAGCAAAAGCAGCACCCCTTGCGTTGCCCATTAAATCAAAGAGCCAACGGGCCAAAGAGCTGGGATGGCATTTGTGCAAAAATGATCGTAATGTGACTCGTCAGGATGAAGGAGGGAGGCAGCAGAACGCCTAAACCTTCCAAGGAGGCTTGTTAGGCCTGAGGAAGGTTGCTGTTGGCCTCAACAACAACAACAACACTGTGTTGTCAGGTTTCCCGGCTACTCTACCTCAGCAGATCCTACGTTTGCAAAAACCAAGTTGAGGGCCATTGAAAACAGGCTGGAAAGATGGGTCTTAAAGGGAAGTCCCAAGGCTCTCTCTCTCTCTCACTGTGTGTGTGTGTGTGTGTGTCAGGGTCCGGCTGTCCTCTCCCGTGGGATGCCGGTGGAGGGCCTGCTACCTGAGGGATGAGGAAAGGGTGCCCCCCTCCTAGAATCAACTGGACTGCAAGTCCCAGCAGCCCCTGACTCCAGCTGTGTTGGGACAGGGTTCCTAGCACTCTAGTGGCATCTGGAGTGTGTGTTTGTGTGTTTGGGGGGGCGGTCAGACTTCTGCTGAGAGGGACTGAGGCTCAGAGGAGCTTCCTGTCTCCCTCGGGTATTTTCTGCAACCACCTCCCCACTGGAAAATTTTGGGGCCTTTGGATATAAAAAAAGGCCCCAAATCTCTCTCTCTCTCTCTCTCTGTCTATGTGTGTCTGACTGCCTGGGGCAGGAACAGTGGGGGGGGCACTTAAAAATAAAGCGGGGAGGGAAGCAGAAAGCTTGGCTCGCGTGAGAAGGGTTCCAGGCCTCTTGGCCACCCCTCCCCCACACGAGGAAGACACAGAGGAGGGGGGGAGGGGGTTTCTCTCACACACACTCCCCCCCCCCGGAAACCACACTCTTGTTGCTGCCCGGCCTTGCCCAATGCTGTGCAACTTCCTGTAAACGCTTCTCTCCTGAATCTGCACGCCTTTCATCCTGTTCCTTTCTGTTCGCGCAACCACTGTCTTCTCGGAGGGCAGGAAAAGGCAGATGGCCGAAGGTGCCCGAGCCTCCCCCCCCCATTGTGCCTCAACTCCCAAGTTCCTGCCCGGATTGTTGTGATGCATCTTTGCCATATCACTCGCTGTTCCTCCCTGCTTGCCAACCTTGGGTCACCCAGATGTTCTTGGACTGCAGTTCCCAGAAGACTTCGCCACCGGCTGCGCTGGCTGCGGTTCCTGGGAGTTCTAGTCCAAGAAGACCTGGGTTGCCCAAGGTTGGGGAATCACTGCTCTGCCAAGATCTAGTTCCCATCTGGAGGCCCCGTGAGAGGAAACCTCGGGCAGGAAGCCCCCCCCCGCTGGGGAATCACTGCTCTGCCGAGATCTAGTTCCCGTCTGGAGGCCTCATGAGAGGAAACTTTGGGCAGGAAGCCCAAACCCCCCCCAGCCATGGGTTCACAGGCTTCTGTCTAGGGAGTCTGTCTCATGTCCCCCCCCCCATCCCCAAAATCCTAGAATCAGGGAGTCGGAAGGGGCCTCTAAGGCCATCCAGTCCAACCCTCTCTGCTCAGCGCAGGAGGAATCCAGCTCAAAGTGCATCTGACTTTGATGGCTGTTTACCTTCCTCTTGAGAAGCTGGAAAAAAATCAGCTCCTTGGCAGGACGGCTCTGAGGAGCAAAATATGGATCTTGAAACTAGCTGCTCTGGCGCATCTTTTATTGTAATAAAGAACTCAAAGGCTAGAAATGCTAACGCCCAAAATCAGCACGGATTCACACACACACACCTCTTTCTCGGTGGCACACCGAGGGATGGGAGGGATTTGTGTGCGTGTGTGTGTGGGGGTCTCCTGCGAGGTCTGGAGCCTCCCTTGG